GCTCCTCCTCCCTAAGGAGAGTCACCCTCATCACTGGCCAGGAGATGCAGACACACCAGAGGGCAGGAGCCGGTGGCCCCTGGTGAAACCATCATTCATTGCCTATGGGCACTGAGCTTACCTAGGCCAAGGGTCACCCATGGCACGGGTGCCTTGTACTGAGAGACTCAGGGCTCCTACCTCCTCCTGAGACTGTGGTAAAGATGCCTCCCCCCAGCTCCCACCCCACCCCCACCCTAATCCTCTTTCCTGATCCTCTTTCCAGGGGGAGGGGGCCAGGCAACCAGCTTAGGGGAGAGGACGGCCACACTCCCTGTTCTCCAGCCCAGCCCTGCTTCCTCCCAACCCCCAGAACTGAACTTTGGTGCCATCACTCTTAACAGCATGGATGCCACCAGTGAGCGTGACTTCATGGGTGAGTGTTGGGGGGAGCCAGTCCCCTGCCCTGTGCCTCACTTCTGTCCCTCAGCCCAGCTTCTCTCCAGTCTTCTACTCCTGTATGTCAGACTGTTGTTATTTTTTTTGTGGTGGTGATTGTACACTAAAGTGTAAACTTTAAATGAGTAAATTGGGCAGGGCACAGTGGCTCATGCCTGTATTCCCAGCACTGGCCAACATGGTGAAACCCATTTCTACTAAGAATACAAAATTTAGCCAGTGTGATGGTGGGCACCTGTAGCTACTTGGGAAGCTGAGGCAGGAGAATCGCTTGAACCCAGGAGGCCAAGGCTGCAGTGAGCTGAGATCACACCAGTACACTCCAGCCTGGGCAACAAGAGTGAAACTTTATCCTCAAAAATAAAATAAAATGAAAATAAATAAATGGGTAGATTATGTGAACAACACATCGGTTAAAACTGGTTTATCTTATTTTTTGTTTTGTTTTTGCTCTGTTGCCAGAGGCGGTGGGGGGGGAGCTGGCTAAATTTTCATTTTTTTTTTTTTCCAGACAGAGTCTGTTCTGTTGCCAGACTTGAGTGCAGTGGCACGATCTCGACTCACTGCAACCTTCACCTCCTGGGTTCAAGTGATTCTCCTGGCTCAGCCTTCCAGTAGCTGGGATTACAGTTGCATGCCACCACACCCAGGTAAATATTTTTGTATTTTTAGTAAAGACGGGGTTTCACCGTGTTGGCCAAGATGTTCTGGATCTCCTGACCTCATGATCTGCCCACCTTGGCCTCCCAAAGTGCTGGGATTACAGGAGTGAGCCACCACACCCAGCCAAAGCTGGTTTATTTAGAACAACAACAATAACAAAAAACAGGCTAGGTGCAGTGGCTCACATTTGTAATTCCAGCACTTTGGGAGGCCAAGGCAGGAAGATTACTTGAGCCCAGGTGTTTTAGACCAGCATGGGCAACATAGCAAGACTTCATCTTTACTCAAAATGAAAATTTAGGTCAGGCACAGTGGCTCACACCTCTAATCAAGAACTTTGGGAGACCAAGCCAGGTGGATCACGAGGTCAAGAGATCGAGACTACCCTGGCCAACATGGTGAAATCCCGTCTCTAATAAAAATAGAAAAATTAGCTGGCCATGGTGCCCCAGCTACTCAGGAGGATGAAGCAGGAGAATTGCTAGAACCTAGGAGGTTGAGACTGCAGTGAGCCAAGATCTCACCACTGCACTCCAGCCTGGCAACAGAACAGGCTCTGTCTGGAAAAAAAAAAAAATGAAAATGTAGCCAGGTCCCTTCCACTGTCTAACTTCCTCTTTCTCTCTGTATGGTCAGGCTGGGTGAGTACCAGAGAGGCTTGGTGACTGGGAATCTTTTCTTTCTCCCAGCTGAGTTCCTGTTCTAGGCTTCATTCTGCATGACCCATCTCAGCAGGATGGCCAGGGACCTCATCCTCTATGGCACCAAGGAATTCAGCTTCATGTAGCTCTCAGATGCCTACAGGTAAGCGCTGAACTGCCACTTCCACCTGCCCCTCTCAGCCTCTGCATTCCCCATGCCCCTTAGGCATGGCTTTCTTCCTCCCTGCCCTCCACCAGACCTGGCCAGTGAGCTGCTGGACCAGCCAATGGCCCAGCCCCTTCAGTGCCTGCATCTCTGTCCACAGCACCAGAAGCAGCCTGATGCCCCAGAAGAAAAACCCTGACAGCTTGGAGCTGATCTGGAGCAAAGCAGGGTGTGTGATTGGGCAGGTGAGCATGGCAGGGAGAAAGGAAGGGTGGATGTGAGGTCCCCAGGGAGGGGGCAGAATTCCTGGTCAAAACCCCGTGCAAGGAACTTGCCAGCACCTGCAACAAAGACCTACAGTTGTGAGGCTTGGGATGGTGGCTGGGGGAGGTCTGCCTGCCTACACACCATGTGCCAGTTCTCGGGGTTCTGGCATACCCAGACAGGGACCCTCAAGATTGCCGTACCTACTCCAATCCTGTGTAGTCAGCCCCATCTGTGGCTGCTTTTGGAGCTCTCGGCCCTTCCTTTGGGTACTGAGTATTCTTCCCATGGAAGGCAGCAGGGATGCCTCAGTGTGGGGTGGGACCCTGGGTGCCAAGAGGAACATCTTCTGCCATGTTCCTCCCAGGAGGACAGGAAAGCTTTGTTTGAAGTGTCAGACACCATGAGTGCTGTGCTTCAGGTGGCCACTGGCATCATCTCTACACTGCAGGCAAGCCCACCCCCACCTGCCTCTCCTCCCCTAGATCCCAGGCACTGGGGTGGGCTTGCCAGGAGAGTGGCCTTGGGGGGAGGCAAGGTGGGCCGGAGGACCTGGGCAGGGAAGGAGAGGTGTGCTCAATCCTGTTCCTGGGGAACAGGGAAGGGACAGAAGCTGCTGCCATGCAATGGAAGTAAATGAGACTCAAGGGACCTGGGGCCTGTCAACTGACCCAACCAGAACCCTTTTAAAAAAGAAAATTTATATAAAAGATTGTCATGGTGGCTCACGCCTGGAATCTCACATTTTGGGAGGCTGAGGCAGGTGGAGCACTTGAGTTTAGGATTTTGAGACCAGCCTGGCCAACATGGAATAAAAATGCAAAAATTAGTTGGGTGTGGTGGTCCACACCTGCAATCCCAGCTATTTAGGAGGCTCAGGTAGGAGAATTGCTTGAACCTGGGAGATGTAGTGAGCCGAGATGATGCCACTGCATTACAGCCTGGATGACAGAGTGAAACTCCATTTTCAGATATGTAAATTAATTAAATATCTTTAAAAAATTATTTTTTAGAGACAGGGTCTCTTTTTGTCACCCAGGCCAGAGTGCAATGGTGCAGTCATAGCTCACTGCAGCCTCAAACTCATGAGCTCAAATGGTCCTCCCACTTTAGCCTCCAAAGTAGCTGGGACTACAGGTGTGCACCACCACGCCTGGCTAATTTTTTGAATTTTTTGTAGAGACAGGGTCTTCCTGTGTTGCCCAGGCTGGTCTCAAACTCCTGGCCCCAGGCCATCCTTCCACTTTCATCTCCCAAAGTGCAGGAATTATAGGCAATTATTATGGGAATTTCTGTCTATAACAGCTAGAGAATGCATAATGAACCCTATGTACTGACACCCAGCTTCAACAATAATCAGCTCACGAACATTCTGGCTCCAGCTGTCTTTACACACTGCCCAACACTGTGGGTATTGGGTAATCCAGCACTTTCAGAGGCCAAGGCAGGTAGATCACCTAAGGTCAGGAGTTTGAGGCCAGCCTGACCAACATGGTAAAGCCCCATCTCTACTAAAATGCAAAAAAATTATCTGGGCGTGGTGGTGCATGCCTGTAGTCCCAGCTACTTGGGAGGATTGAATCATTGAGAATCACTTGAACCCAGGAGGTGGAAGTTGCCGTGGGCCAAGATTGCACTATTGCACTCCAGCCTGGGCAATAAGAGCTAAACTCTGTCTTAATAATAATACTAAGGCTGGGCACAGTGTCTCATGCCTGTAATCCTAGCACTTTGGGAGGGCAAAGTCACACAGCTTGCAGTAGGACCTCCAGTCATTTAAAGGTACCCAGTATAACAGAGACTACTGAGTTACTCACCGATGACCAGAAGTGAAATGTGGAGACCAGACCTGCAAAAGGCTGGGATGGCACTTAAAGAAAAAAGAGGGGGCGGGGCACGGTGGTTCGTGCCTATAATCCCAGCACTTTGGGAGGCCGAGGCGGGTGGATCATGAGGTCAAGAGATTGAGACCATCCTGGTCAACATGGTGAAACCCTGTCTCTACTAAAAATACAAAAAATTAGCTGGGCATGGTGGCACACGCCTGTAGTCTCAGCAACTCAGGAGGCTGAGGCAGCAAAATTGCTTGAACCCAGAAGGCGGAGGTTGCAGTGAGCGGAGATCATGCCATTGCACTTCAGCCTGGGTAACAACAGGGAAACTCCGTCTCAAAAAAAAAAAAGAAAAAAAAAGAGGGATAGCATATGCTATAGACTGAATGTCTGCCTCAAGTTCATGTTGAATCCTAATCCCCAATGTAACCATATCAGAGGTGAGGGGACTTTGTGAGGTGATTGCAGCTATTGAGGGAGGAGTCCTCATTAATCAAATTAGTGCCTGGTCAAAGAGACCCTGGAGTGCTCTGTTACATCTACCACCTGAGAACACAGCAAACAGGCACCATCTAGGAATCAGGGCTTCCCCAGACAACAAACCTTCTCCTTCCTCCACCCTGACCTTGGGCTTTCAGCCTTCACAAATGTGAGAAATAAATTTCTGTGGTTTATAAGCCACCCAGTCTATGGTATTCTGTTATATCAGCCCAAACAGACTAGGATAGTACAGTAGCTTTCGAGGGCAACTGGAACAAGGGGAAGGAGGACTGACTATTTGTTAAAGATGTCAGCAACTGGCCGGGTATGGTGACTCATGCCTATAATCCCAGCACTTTGAAAAGCCAAGGGGAGCAGATCACCTGAGGTCAGGAGTTGAGACCACCCTGACCAACATGGTGACAAAAAAATTAGCTGGTTGTGGTTGTGCACACCTGTAATCGGCACTCGGGAGGCTGTGGTAGGAGAATCACTTGAACCTGGGAGGTGGAGGTTGAAGTGAGTGGAGGTTGTTGCAGTGAGGCGAGATCGTGTTCACTGCACTCCAACCTGGGTGATAGTGACTCCATCTCAAAATAAAAAAGATGTCAGCAACTTAAGTATTTTTAACGGCTGGGCAGAGGGGACCAATGAAAAAGAGTAGGACATCGTGATCTGAGGGGAGGGTTTGGCTCAGGAAGGAGGAAGTACACCTCTTCCTTGGATACTGGAAGGGAAGGTGTTGCTGATGAAAACTCCAAAGGAAGAAAAGGTCCATGGAGGATGCTTCATCACTGGGTTTAAGTTTTTTAACAAAATTGGTGAGGAAGACATCTGCACAGAATCTAAAAAATAATGAATGCAGCCATGGTACCTTAGGGCGCTGGAAAAGGCAATGCACCTGACCTCTGGGGAAGCTGATCTGAGAGGCACGCGGGACGTGGAGATACGTCTGGAGACAGTGAGTCATACTTCCTGACCTTATAACCATGCAGCTCAGCAGTCTCTGCGAGAGTCGGCTCCCTGCAATTTGTGTTCCAGGTACTGCTCTCGTTCGTTAAGACTTCTACAATGGGGAGGGTAAAAGAAATACATTTTAATTTGTAAGAAAATGAAGCATTCAAAATAAAATTACCTGCTCTATTCAGGGTATATTTGCTTTCCAGCCTATCTTAGCAGTTACAGAGGATAACTGCTAAGTACACTTGACTCGTTCATTTGAACATCATGTGAGCACAATTGACAACCCATCTTAAAAAAAATCTTGAGAAAAAAGTATTTAATTTCTTGACTAAATTTAGCTTTCAGAAGGGATCAGTGATTCTGTTGATGGTGATTGAGACGGTTAATATGTAGATGTTTTCTTCTTGGCATGTGAGAGACATGTTTGTTTTAGTGGGAGCAGCAGGTGTGTAACCACACTACTTGGGCTGGTAACATGTATTTTTCAAGTTCTGCTCTACCAGTCTGAGTACCATGTGTTGATAACTGACATCTGTGCTTCTATCAAATTAAACCTGAAGTGCCTTTCTCTTTTCATTTCAAATAACTTTGCTCTTTCTTTGCTTACGCCATTTAAAGTGAGATTTGTACCAAAGTGTTAAAATGTATTTAGTGTATTCCTTAATAACATGAATATATACATTACAATCTTTGATTTAATCATATCTTAAGTCTTTAGTAACAGTGTACTCTTGCACTGGAAATCTTTCAGCTATCTTTAATCTTCATCAAGTTTTCAGTTTATTAGTCTGTTTAATCTCTTATGCCACTTTTATACTTATGCCATTTAGACTAGCAATTAATAAACATTGAGAAAAATAATTATTATAATTGTTACATTGAATTCAGAAGAGTGACACATGTTTAATATTACATTCTATAAAAAATCCTAAGCTTACAGTTTTATTCTTATAAGTATTTACAATTAGTCAAAACTCCCCCTACCCAATCCCTTATCAAAATCAATGTTCATAAACCAACAGGTGAGGTTTTTGTGTGCCCACTAGATACTTATATGTCCATGGGCAGGAATGATCACAGGAATTAACGCATCCATCCAGCTGGACTGTGGAGATGTTTCTAATGTTTGATAGAGATCCTGTTATTCACATAACTGTGGAGTGACTTGGCTAACTGACATATGTTCTTTAGGATCCATGGAGCACGTAACACATCCTGATGCTGTTCTCAGCCTTCTGTGGCCTCTTGGTCACCGTTTCCTACCATCTGAGCTGGCAGAGCAGTGACCCATCTGTGTTCATGTGAGTGATCTATTCCTGTGCTGTCATCACTGAGCAGGGGGCGCGGTTCCCACAGCGTTTTGCCCTGACTGAGGTGGGGAGATGGCAAATCACTGCCTATTGTAATTTGACTCTCATTATTAAACTCACCAGAGGAGGGCAGGAGAAATACAGGACCAGCCAGAAATTAGTAACAGTTAAAAGTGAATATCCAGCAAACATTTTGGCTTTGCTCCTTTGATTTTGGAGTAAAATGCACAGTGGCAGGAACAGATGGCCAATAGCACCCAAGCCCTGTTGTGACTTTCCCTTGGGTGAGTTGGGTGAGAAGCTACCACCTCAACAATACTTTCTCTAGATCCATTAAACTGCATCCCTGCATTGAGGCAGTTACCTGTGGAGACTAAACCAGCACCTCTGAAAGGAAACATTTTTGTTCTATTTTGTTGTGGTGGTGTTGGTTCTCAATCTGGCCAATGCCCTCTGGATTTAAAGTGAGATTTGCACCAAAGTGTTAAAATGTATTTAATGTGATCCTTAGTAATGTGAACGTATACATTGCAATCTTCCCTTTCATCGTATCTTTTAAACCTTTGGTCACATGTACTCTGGCACTGGAAGTCTTTCAAGTGATGCCAGAGTGTCCGATACTGACAGTAGCATCTTATGTAATGTGTTTAAATTTATGAAAAATTTTGATTTAAGATAACCATACTCTTGGAGGACCAGAGACAGCATAATTTTAGGCTATTAGATGCGGCAGTATCAAAGGCATGAAAAATGGAAAAAAGAAAAGTTAAATGGTTCTCACACTTTTTAGTGTCAGTTGTATTACTTCAGTGTTCACTTTCTGCTGCTAATTGTTTGTGAAGATGAAGCTCTAGTGGGCTGTCAGAGATGGAGGACCGTTCCTTTGTCCCACTGCTGACAGTAGAGGGTGATGCTGCTGCTGAGGTACTTGACTGCTCTCATTAGGGTGAAATTGAGAATTATGATCACTTGAACAAGTACCTCTTTTTAGATTTTAAATGAAGAGGGCGCTGCTTTTGTCATGTGTGGGTGTGAGATCTAAGGTGAAGTTATTTACCAAAAACACTGCCCCAGGGACGTCATTGATAAAGTAAAACCTTTTCAGGTTCTTCATTCAATGCAGACTGTTTCCTAAGTTTTTACATCAAAATCTGGAAGAGTCAGCTGCTGATCCTCTCCCCAAGAAGATGAAAGATTCTGTGGTGAGACATTTGTGTTGTGTAACGTAGTATAGGAGGGCCTCACCTTTTCAGCAGAGCTCGGGCTCTCAATGGGCCTCTAGGCAGGTGGACATGAGAAGGGCTAGGACAGAAAGAGACACCTCAGCATGTCTCTGGCACACTGAACTATTGAACTGCCTGCAAGGGTGCAGCCCTTCAGAGCATCTTGATGGCGGCCGTTATGCACACATGGCATGGGTGCTTAGGTGGCCTTCAGTTGGTTGCAGTTTGCCAGGATAGTCACATGAATCACAGTGAGTCAGTTTTGCCTATTGCTGGCACCAAATAGCAGGTGGGCTCTGCACAAATCAAAGCTTGTCAGATAAACGTTTAGCCAACCTGCCTTCCTTCTTCCTGCAGCTCCACACTGAGTTCAGAGCACTCTTTCAAAGTTGATATCTGCACAGCCATTACTTGGGGCACTTGGGCTTTAGATTTAGGGCTGGGTCACAGAGAAGTGGGTAACCACACTGGGGAGCACAGGAGAAGAAAAGGAAGAAGGAGGGAGACAGGAAGAATCCTACAGCTATAAAATAATGATGCCATTTCCTTGTTCATCAGGAATATGGCTCTGGATAGCTTCAAACTTTTTTCTTTTTTTTTTTGAGATAGTCTTGCTCTGTTGCCAGGTGCCAGGCTGGAGTGCAGTGGTGCGATCTCAGCTCACTGCAACCTCTGCCTCCTGGGTTCAAGCAATTCTGCCTCAGCCTCCTGGGTAGGTGGGACCACAGGCATGTGCCACCATGCCCAGCTAATATTTTTGTATTTTTAGTAGAGATGGGGTTTCATCATGTTGGCCAAGATGGTCTCAATCTCTTGACCTTGTGATCAGCCCAAAGTGCTGGGTTTAGAGGCTTGAGCCACCGCACCTGGCTCAAGCACTCTCTTAGCAAATGTAGTTTCTTTGGTATCAACTTACAAACATTCATATGTTAAAAGCCAATGCTCCTTAATTGTGTAAGCTCACATACATCTGAGTATTGAACTTGGAGCTGTCTAATGTACTTGACTCACACTTTTCCTGGTTTTCTTAGGAATAAGAGATAAAAGGAAAAGGGAATAATCTATTGATCCAACCAGGACTGTGTCTCATTTGTCCTGATATCCACAGAGCCAGTGCATGGTGTTCTAGTGGGTGCTCAGTACAGTTCATGGAATTTAGACGAGTTTAATTGCAGTCTGCCATTTCAAGGCAATGTATGGACTCACAGCCAACATGAAAGCCTTTAAAAGAAATTCATACTCAGCTTTTGTGCCTTTAAATGTGATCACAATTCAAGCTAATGTATAAAGGCTTTTTTTCCACCATAAGGGAATCAAAGGACAAATCACTTAATATCAGTAAGGGCATAGTTCATGAATTTTAAGAGCAGAGATACATTTAAAAGCAAGTTAAAAGTCAAAGCAGTTGGCCCTGATGAGATGGCAGCCCCAAAAAAAGAAATATTTGACATAAGCCTCGCATCCTCAACCTGACTGCTAATATTTATACCTGGAGACTTACAGGGAGAAGGTCAAACTAACATTCCCACAATACTTTTTGTAAAAGCTGTAGGGTAGCCCAGAGTCTACCCAAAAGTCTCCCCATGAATATCTGAAAAACTATGCCCTTCTGTCTTCCTTGATTTCATGACTAATGAAGATGCATCTCTACTTTCTGATTTATTGTAGCTTTTTAAAAATTTTTAACCTACACATGGAAGTAAGGAACAAGTCTATAACTACTTCAGTTGTTGGAGGTATCAGACACAGATTTTAAAACAACTATTCTTATTCTTGAAGTAAAAGGCAAATTTTAAAATTTATAGGCCAGCAGAAACAAGTCTATAACTACAGTTGTTGGAGGTATCAGACACAGATTTTAAAACAACTATTCTTATTCTTGAAGTAAAAGGCAAATTTTAAAATTTATAGGCCATAGAAAATATTTAAAACAATCCAGCAGGTTTGAAAGCCAAATAGAATTTTTGAAACAAGTAAACAAGTGAATCAATTGAATTCTACACCACCACACCACCCCACACATGGGAGATTAGATACATCTGAAGAGAGAATTCGTAAACTGAAAAATAGAGAAGAAAATATTCAGAACATAACACCAATTGACAAAAAAAATCAAGAAATATGAAAGAGAAATGAAGGATAGATTGAGAAGATTTAAAATATATCTAATCAGAATTCCTAGAAAGGCTGAAGCATAATTAATACTTGGTGAGATAATATCTCAAAGTTTACCAGAATTGATAAAAGATCCTTATCTTGAGATTCAGGAATTTCAGTGAATCACAAGTAGGGTAAATTGAAGAAGAAAGAATCCACACCAGCCAAAGAAACTGCAGCATGCCAAGCACATATACCAACTTAAAGCAAGTAAACAGAATGAACAGATTACATTCAAATGAATGACTGCAAGCTCCCTTATTGAGAGCCATCATGGAAGCCAGAAGATAGTTGTTTGATGTACTTAATGATGTGTAAAGAAAGTAACTAAAGTAACTACCAAGCTAGAACTTTACTCCTGCTGAAAGTATCCTTTAAGGATAAAGGCAAAATAAAGTTTAGAAAAAGAAAAGCTCAAAAATCCTCATTACATGTAATCTGAAGATATTTTCAGTAGTAGAAAGTGATCTTGTGGTAAAAGTTTCAGGAGAAAAGACAAAAAGGAAAAGTGATCTTGGCTGGAAGGTCTGATTTGCAAGTGAACAAAAAAAGTGGCAGGTACATTGGCAAATCTGAATAAATATTAGCTGCATAATACCATGATAAATCCGTATAATTGGCTTTAAAATATAAAGTAGGGTAGCTGGGCATGGTTTCAGCTACTTGTGAAGCTGAGGCAGAAGAATCCTTTGAACCCAGGTGGCGGAGGTTGCAGTGAGCTGAGATTGTACCACTGCACTCCAGCCTGGTGACAGAGTAAGACTCTATCTCAAAGTGTGTAAATAAAGTAAAATTAAAATACATGACTATAATAACATACAAGTTTGGACGAGAAGAGAAATGAACTTCAAGTTGTCAGAGGTCTTAGTAATGTCCAAGAGAAGAATAAAGATATAGATTGAATGTCCCTGATCCAAAAATGCTTCAAAATCTAGAACATTTTGAGCACCAATGTGACGCGCAAGGGGAGTATTTTGGATTTCGATTTTCGGATGAGGGCTTCTCAGCCTGTATAGTGAACTTCAGCTTGTGATAAATTAGATATGCATGTTGGAATGTTTTGTGCAACTACTAAAGGAATAGAAACAAAGCATGTAGGTTCCAATTTCAAACAGAAGGAAAAAATAGAAAACTAAAAATAAATAAGAAAATGAAATTGGGCTACTATGTCATACTGTACTTAAAAGCAATTTCAGGTAAATTATAAGCCTAAATATGAGAAAATAATACCTGAAAGCATTTAGGGTCACAATAATGGAAACTTCTTTCATGATATTAGTGTAGGAAATAAGTTTTTAAAAGAACACAAAAGATTTAAATTAATGTAAATTATGACTTGATTTATTATTTTAAATTATACAGAAAAGCTACTAGTGTTTAGATGAATATAAAATTTCTCTAAATCAATGAGAAAACCATATGTCTCCATTGAAAATAGTTGCAGAAGAATTGCACATACACTTCACAATTGAGGAAATATAAATGGCTAAAAGGCGTGAATATATGGTCAACTTCATTAATTATCAGAAAACTCCAAATGGAAATCACACTTACTGTTTCAAAACTACCATACCAAGAAAAGTAAAGTGCTCACAATATTAAGTGGTGAGAAGTGTAGAGCAAGGTAGCTGGTGGGAGTGTGAACTAGTATACACATATTGGAAAAAAGTTTGGTTATATAAAAGTTTAAGACATGAGTAGACTGCACCCAGCAGTTCTACTCCCAAGTACTTTTCTGGAGCAAATCTTGCACATTTGCACTAAAATACATGTATAAAGTTGTTCATAATAGCACTTGTTCATGGAAATGCCAAATGAGTAGTCCGTAGCAAAGGAAATGAACTTACAGCTAAATGCAATTCATGGGTAATCTTAACCACATAATGGTGAGCAAAGGAAACATAACACAAAATAATGCATATAGTATGGTACAATATTTTGGGTAAACATGGACAAAATTAAATCGGTTACAGTTGAATATTTAAGTCCTAAGTAGTGAAATCATTTTTTTTTAAGCAGGAAAATGATTTTCACCAGTCAGGTTTGTTTATGGGAACCTCCAGGAGGGGAAAGAAGGATTGTGATCAGACAGCCACATGCAAAAAGCATCTAGAATGCTGGAAAGATATATTGAATTAGTTGGTGGTTACAGAGGTGTTCACTTTATACTTATTAAATTGTGCATACTTATATATACTTTATGGTTACCTGTGTCACATTTTAAAAATATAAAAAATTTTTTAAAAAAATTAAAATCAAACATTTATCCAAAATATATAGAGAAATGAGTTTTTCAGGCTTAGGATTCATAAAATAAATAACACATATACAATACCCCGAGTTAGATTTAAGAATGTAAAATATTAAACTTGTATTAAAAAAGGTAATAAATAATTTGGTACAATACTTATGGCAAACTTAGCAAAATTAAATATCTCTCTAATATCAACAATCCTTATGATTTGATTTTTAAAACCCTATAGGCAAATTATATGTGTATCATTTGTATATAACTATATAAAAATACATATATATCTGAGCTCCAAAATGAAGCCATTTGAAATTTTATATAACATTGAGGAACAAATTAAGTAAATGTATAAAATAATTATCTTAATGCAAATTAAAACTAGTTGGCATTTTTTTGTACACACCATTAGCACTGGGAAAATTAGTGATGGTGCCAATTGTGTCAAGATGCAATCTTGTAGACGTCATTTGTATTTATGTGAATTATCATCTGGAAAAGCATAATTTATCAAGGATCATAAAATGTTTACAACCTATGATAGAGTAAATCTATTTGTTAGAGTTTTTCTAGGAAATCAATTCAAATTATGAAAAAAGTTTTAGGTACATAAAGATAATGATTTCAGCATAATTCATCATGATAAACAATGGAAGGCAACTAATAGTAACAGTCAAGGGATATTTGCAATAACTATATATTTCATTAAATTTCATTCACTAAATTAATGTTTTGAGCAATCACATGGCATCATATGTGTGTATATGTGTATGACATCACAAGATAGAAAATTATTTAGTCACTAAATATTAGTGAGCCTATACAATTTTATCTATATATGTATGCATGTGTGTGTTATATATATATATTAGATAGTATGGTAGAAAAGATAGAAAATTGTTTGCACACTAAGATTAGACCCTTATGAAATATGCATAGAAATACTCATATACATAAGGATTATAGCTAGAGCCATGGTTTAACATCCACAGAAAAATAGAGGCTTGGGAAACACAAAAATGCAAATACTGTTAATGTCAGGCTATAATCATTGTGAATGATTTTTCCCTCTTATATATGTTTTAGGGTGCTTCAGTGTTATTGTTATTCTATAATAGAAAATTAACAATAAAAATTACAAAGATCTAAATTTGCGATTTTGTTCCATCTTGCAGAACATTCCCTTTCACATTCATTTTTGTAAGACCTAACAGTACAATTTACTATTAAGACATAGGGCATTTGTTTGTTCGTTTGTTTATTTATCTTAGAGGGGGTCTTGTTCTGTCACCAGGCTGGAGTACACTGGCCCAATCTTGGCTTCCTGCAACCTCCACCTCCTGAGTTCAAGCCTCTGGAGTATCTGGGACCCCAGGCAAGTGCCACCGAGCTTGGCTAATATTTTTATCTTTTTAGTAGAGACGAGGTTTCACCATGTTGGCCGGGGTGGTCTTGATCTCTTGACCTCGTGATCCATCGGTCTTGGCCTCCCAAAGTGCTGGGATTACAGGACTGAGCCAGCTCACCCAGCCTTTATTTACTTATTTACAAAGTTTCTGATTTATTTACTTAGAGACAGGAAGGCCAGCTTGCATTTATTTATTTATGTTTTAATTAATTTATTTAATTATTTTTACCTTTTTTTAAAAAAATAGACACAAGGATTGTTTCACCATCTCGGCCAGGCTGGTCTCAATGTCCTGACCTCAGGTGATACAGCCAGCTCAGGCTCCCAATGGGTGGGGTATTAAAAACATGAGCCACCAAGTGGGGCTGCTTATTTATTGATTTATTTATCTATTGATTTATTTGGAGGCAGACTTGCAGTTATTTATTTATTTATTTGCTGGTGTAGTAATGGAGAAGCAGGCCGAATTTATTTATTTAAGTATTTGGAGGCAGACTTGGATTTATGTATTTATCTAGCTTGCTAGCTGATTATTTAGAGGCGGGCTCACATTTACTCATTTATTTTATTTAGACCCAGGCTCACAACATTATTTTTATACTTTGTGTGCAGGCTTGCATTTATTCATTTTCTTAACTATCTGTATAATGATTTAGAGGCAGTCTTGCATGTATTTACTTATTTATTTATTATTTACTTTTCTTTCTTCTTTTCATTTAAAGATGGGGTTTCACCATATTTGTCAGGTGGGTCATGAACTCTCGCCCTCAGGTGATCCGCCCGCCTTTGCCTCCAAAGTGCTTGGATTACAGGCATGAGCCACTATGACTGGCTTATTTGTTTATTTTAGACGGATTCCGGCTTTGTCACCAGGCTGGAGTGCGCTGGCCCAATCTTGGCTTACTGCAGCCTCCACCTCCTGGGTTCAATCAGCCTCCGGAGTATCTGGGACCACAGGTAAGTGCCATTGTGCCTGCCTAATATTTTTCTATTTTTAGTAGAGGCGAGGTTTCACCATGTTGGCCAGGATGGTCTTGATCTCTTGACCTTGTGATCTGCCCGTCTCTGCCTCCCAAGGTGATGGGATTACAGGCTCCTGCCATGATGCCTGGCTAATTTATTGTATTTTAGTACAGATGGGGTTTCACCATGTTGTCCGGGCTGGTCTGAAAGTTGTGACCTTAGGTGATCCACCCATCTCGGCCTTTGAACATGCTAGGATTACAGGCATGAGCCAGGCAGTTTTCTAAGTTGTAAAATTATACTATTTACCCCTAGCACCAAGATTGTAGTCTCAATATAGTCTCAAAATACCATTGCCCAATGAAAGAAAAGAAGCCTTCTTGGAGAAAGTGCTGATTTTAGGTCTAGGCCAGAAATGTGTAAGGAGCCTGGAACATATTGTCACTCCAGATAGCAAAGAATCCCAAAGATTATTAGGATGATTTCAACATGTCTGAAGGGCCAATCTGAAGGGACTCCTAACCAAAGATAGGACATTTTATACATTAATAAGGATAATAGTTGCAGTGAATTGAGATATATCAGATATGTTTGAATATCTGCATTCATAATGATCCTTTTGAAAAAATAAAAGTGGACTGGCACAGTTCCTCATGCCTGTAATTTCAACACTCCAGGAGGCTGAGTTAGGAGGATCACTTCATCCAGCAGTTTAAGACCAGCCTGTGCAACATAGGGGGACTCTGTCTCTACAAAACATTTTTTAAATTACTCAAGTATGAGGGCATGTGTCTTTGGTCCCAGCTACTCAGAAAGCTGAGATGGGAGGGTCACCTGAGCCTAGAAGTTTGAGGCTATAGTGGCATGACTGCTTCTCTGCATACCAGCCCGGGCAACAGAGCTAGACCCTCCCTGTCTATAAATAAATACAAGTGGTCACCATTGAAGGATATAAATGAAACCCATCATTTTGAAAAATGGTTAAGCAGAAGAAATCAAGCCATGAACTGGCATTTTCTATATAAGTTGTACAAGTGAGTAACACAGTTTATTAGAAGCAGCATCTCTTTTTACATCTGCTTCATTTTTTTCTTCATGCAAGGCCCTTCAGGTAGCAGTATCTCTTTCTGGAAGTATGGCAGCTCATAAATGAAGAAGGAATGATACAACAATACCTTCATTGTTCAATCCATAATTGATCAATGGCCATTAACATCACCAATTAAAAAAAAAGATGTCCAGAAACTACACAACTCCTCCCAGAAGAAACTAGCACAGTCTTTGCCCTGACCCTCAAGTCCAACCTGAATCTCACCACGTCTTTAGATCAAACTACTAATTTATCAAAGCTAGAACAAAGTGAAGAGCAAGTTAACCAACATCACAAGATACAATTAGCAAAATTCACAGTATGAGAAACAGCATAATAAGAACACATTTAGCATAAGAAATGACCTGATTTATTCAATAAATGGACTGCAAGGGACAGCACAGAGATCAAAGTGGGAAGTTGTCAGGATCAAGAAAACCCTAAGAGGTGAATCAAACAATCCCAAGGAGAGACTTTATTTGGATCCTGATTCACACAATAAATACATGAAATGACTGGAAATTTGGAGCTAGAAGGAGAGTTGACAGTGATAAAGAGCAATGGTGTGAGATGGTTGGTTGATGATGGTATTGGGATTATTATATTTTTTAAAGAGTTCTTGTCTCCAGGCATGGCGCTTCACACCTATAATCTCAGTAGTGTCGGAGGTCAAGATGGGAAGATCCTTTGAATCCAGGAATTCTAGGCCAGCCTGGGCAACATAGCAAGACCCTGTCTCTACTAAAATACAAATAAAAAAATTAGCTTGGCATGGTGGTGTGAGTCTGTAGTTGCAGCTACTCAGGAAGCTGAGGCAGGAGAGGCCACAGTGAACCAAGATCATGCCACGCCTGGTTGACAGAGACCTTATCTTGAAAGAACAAACAAGAATCGTATCTTTTACAGACATATACCAAGAGAGTCAGGGAGGAAATTATATGATGTGTGGGATTTGCTATAAAATCATGAGAGGGAGAGGAGAAGCATGTAGGAGTATACATGTAACGAGATTGGCCATCAGATAACAAGTATCTAAATCTGCTGCCGAGTAGGTGAAAGTCACCACACTAGCCTCTTGTTCCAAAAAGCTCGAATAGAAAGTTTGCATAAAAATTCACTTCGTGGATTTGTAACAAGCATTGAATAAGATCGTGTATGCAGAGTGTTTTATCACCATGGCTTGCAGGTAGTCAGCACACAAACATTGTTTTTAGTTTTGTATAGTCCCTGCCCATTAATCACACCCACAAAAGGTATGTTGTTCACACCAAGAGCTCTGGCCCATGGACTTTTGTCCACTTGGTGGTAATTTATTGGAATTTGAGGTTTAGAATGAGGAAATTCAAAGCCCCAGGCCTACTATGAAATAGCAAAGCCAATGGTCCCAGATGCCTTCGTAGCACACCTAGTAAGTAGGACCATTTTCTCTCACCTTGTAGGCACACTTGAGTTCATTCACTTATTTTTCATTCATTTCTCATATGCCATGTATTGGGTGCTAGGGATCCGTAATACAGCTGGCCCCTAATTGAATGAAAGCATCACTTTCAAAGCATCACTGCAGGATGAGTATTTTGTGTCAAGTGGATTCAAGGAACAGTGCGAAGGATCCATGGCCTCAGTCGTGAAGACCCTCCCAAGAGCCAACTGTCCTGGGCACATATAAATGAGTGGAGACATGGAACTCACCCTTACAAGGCCTAGAACCTGACAGAGCATACAAGACTGAAGCCCAAATAACCAAGAACAGGAAGCTGAAGGTGAGAGGTGGGCCGCAAAGGATTCTGTGAAAATGCTTTGTGTTTGTGGATTTATCATGCATTCACAGGTTAGATACACTCTCTATATAGAATCTATGAAGGGACATTTCTGGGTTTTCTGAGGCCTATGGTGAAAAATGGAGTATCTCAGGCCACTCAGGATGAATAATGCAGTCACCAAGAGGGGCAGGGTGGCCAGCAGCAGGGATGGGCATTGTGAGCCTTTGGGTGGGGTTGTGGGAAGTGGCATTGTGAGCCACTGGCCTGACTTTGTTGTTTCCTGGTAACCAGGTGACATAGGAGGCTTTGTGGGTAACAGGCATCAGCCAGGGCCAGCAGCCTTCAGTCAGAAGCTGGTAGTGGGAGGAGGAGGAGATTGTTGCATAGGTACACACATGGCAGTGTAATGTGCTGTCTTCCTCCCCATCACCTATATCTGGCATTTCTCCCCATGCTATCTTTTTCCAACTCCCCACCCCCTGCTGTCCTTCCCCTATTTCCCCACAATAGACCCCAGTGTGTAGTGCTCCCCTCCCTGTGTCCACGTGTTTTTGTTTTTTTTTTTTTCTGATTTTGTGCATTGCTTTGTTTTGAAAGTCCCCTTATAGGTCACTATGGGGAACTTCCTAGGCCCCAGGGCTGGCCTCATTTGTGCCTGGTGCCGGGAGGCAGTGGCGTCATGTTGTGGGACTCAGTCTGTGGCAGCTACACCACCAGAATCCACGACTTCAGAGCCTGACTTTGTATATGCCGGAGTGGTGGAGGTCCAGCATGTGCAGCCCAAGTCAAAGCGGCGCAAAGGTAAGGAAGCCACAGGTGCCATTTTCTTTCTGGCCACCACCTCCCCCACCTCCTTCCCATCCCCTCACCCCAGAGACATCCTCAGCTCTCAGCTCCCTCCTGCCTATAGCCAGCTTTCCCAGGGCTGGGCATGGGGGACAAAGGCTAGTCCCGCCTCTTGTCTTTGTTGTTGAGCCTTCTTGCTTGAGGCATTTTGGGTCTAGTCTTTCCCTTTCCCCAGTGAAAATTCAGATACTCTCTCCATCCCATTCTCTAGCCTTACCTATCCAGCTACTATGGTACCTCAGTGAAGGAGCCGGTTAAAGGCCCAATCATTTCTTTTCTCCTATTCAATAAGGAAGCTAATAATTGGGAAAATTCAGACTCAAATATTTGGAAAGTTCTTAAATTTAAAATAGAGCTATGGAAGAGATTATATGGTGTTCTTAAGAGATGGTTTGAAGTCACCTTGACAGAAGCAGCTTTACTTCTTCCAATTGTAATTTGAAAACCAAAGGAAAAATTGAGGGACATGCTTAAAATGACAGCAAAAGATATGAAATGTTACTGCCAGAGCTGTAGAAAAGTTGTTTTTGCTGTGGTTTTACCCAAAGTTTAGCCCTGGAGCTCTGATTACTTAAAAATTCCCACTTTGATGTGAATGTCTCTTCGGCACTACTCCAGTAACTTCATGGGCTTTACCTCCTTACCTTCTGAAAGACAGGTAGAGCTAGCTCATGGTTGATGAAATGACTTTTGACTTGAATTTGTAAGGTAAAGACTTGAGAGTTAGAAGGCCAGACACTGCCGGTGGAAAAGAGTTTGTTTTCATGGCTCCCCTTCCTACAGGATGGGAAAGGGGAGGAGAGAGGAAGCATTTCATTTTTTTGCTGTGGTCAAATTGAAGACAAAAACTAACACTTGTAAGATGGGAGAGGAGCATTTAGTTACAAAATCAGTCAAACATTTGTGTATCACTACATTTTTTGAGCAAATGAAAGCTCCCAGACTCAGAAAACCAGAGATGCTAATGGAACTGACATTAGTAATCAAGGTTTTCTACTGAGTTCAGTGCCCAGGGTGACTTCCAATAACAACCACCCTTCCCTCCACAAACTTTTCTCATGATTGGAAAGCTCAGGCAGCCCAGGATGAATAATGCAGTCACATGGGGGAAATGGTGACCACAGGTGGGCAGCAGCAGGGATGGGCATTGTGAGCCATTGGGTGGGGCTCGGCACTGTGAGCCATTGGGTGGGGCTCTGGGGCAGGGCATTGTGAGCCATTGGGTGGGGCTCTGGGGCAGGGCATTGTGAGCCAGTAGCCTGACTTGGTTGTTTCCTGGTAACCAGGTGACATAGGCTTTTTGGGTGACAGGCATCAACCAGGGCCAGCAGCCTTCAGTCTAAAATCCTTTAGGATTTTAGAAATAGATGAATCTAGCAACAGATAATTCTGGGTAACCAGTTCCTTGAACAAAGACTAAGTCCACTGAAATAGAAAACATTATATCATAAAGACATAGAAATATGATCAGCTCATTTCTTTCATTTTAATGGCAGAGATTTTATTAGTATGGAGAAAATGTCTTACAGGTCTTGTGTTTAAACTTCAGTTTGGCTCTTACCTTCTTTCACAGAATAATTAAGCCTCATGATGGGTGTGCCTTTGTAACAAGGAAGTGCTGTACTCCCTTTTTAGAGTATTGAAAAATTGAGACTTAATAGATTGTACCTTATACACAAAGCATGCAAGTACCTGTGGAAACTCCTTGCTTGGTGGTGTATGGCAAGCCTCTGTGTGATATTCTGTCTGATTTGGCAGATGAGGTAGTGAGAGAACAAAGTGAGCCTTTTCCTTATTCTTTAGGATGTAAAACATGTTTTCCTGTACATCTTACTGGAAGCTTCCAAATACAAATAAGGCCTGTGTATATTCTAGCTATGTTGCTGATGCAGAAGGGAAGGCTTAGAGATCTGAAGGGACTGTGTGAGACGGCTGCTGAACAGGACTGAGGTTCTAAGTCATCAAAGTAGACATTGGAGGTCGTAGTGATGCCAAACTCAGTTCTTAAAGAACTTGACAGACTCCAGAATGTCTTATATTTTAAGGTCTACCCATAACATAGACCTCTCTTAGAACTTTCATCTTGATTAGTTCTTTTTGCATTTTATTTTACACATTTACCTCTCCGTTTTTCCTCCTAAAGAGTCCTCACTGTGGGCACAGAGCCCAGGCTTCTGACTCCTGGCCTGGGCTCAAGCACTCCTGCTGCCTCAGCCTGTAGGAAAGCTGACAATACAGGCATGTGCCATCTCTCCTGGCTCTACCTTCTGTCCATACATTTATTGAAATAGATAAGGATAAAAGTAGGGGTAACAAAATGGCCTGCATTTACCAGTCAAATCAACAGTTTAATAAATGTGGAAGAGTTTCATCTGCTAACTGATTTGAAGCTGAGAATGCCCTGGTCAGGAGAAAGGAGAAGCTGGCAGGAGGGCAAGCAAGGCCCCGAGTAAGAAATGTTAAGTCAGAGCAGTTGAAGAAAAAATAGTTTGTGAGCACAGAATTTACCATCTTATGTGTATGTGCATGACAGTAAGTTTCTATATGTCTCTTCAAACGTGTTTTTGTGGTATTCAGTAAAGGGATAACAGAAACCTCAATTTCAGTGTTCATTCTTTGGCCAGGCACAGTGGCTCATCTCAGCATTTTGGGAGGCCGAGGTGGGCAGATTACCTGAGGTCAGGAGTTTGGGACCAGCCTGGCCAACATGATGCAACCCCTTCTCTACTAAGTATACAAAAACTTAGCCAGGCATGGTGGCACATACCTGTAATCCCAGCTACCTGGGACGCTGAGGCAGGAGAATCACTTGAATCCGGGAGTTGCAGGTTGCAGTGAGCCGAGATCCCGCCAGTACACTCCAGCCTGGCTGGGAAAATAAAATGAAAGAAACATGTTCAGAACACTCAATATAAAGTATAGACACATTCAAAGTTTGTTAATATCTTCATTTCAGAAAATTGTGTATCACGTTTTTTGGAAAATGATAAATTCCTACTTAGATGTGAAACATTTTAGCCTTTCTATAATGACGATTGATTTCTTTTGGTAACTTAGACAAATATCACAGCAACCAGTGCTCCAACCATTCTGTGGCACACTAAGCAGTTATTTAAAGGCATCGCACTGCTGTAGAAAGACATCCTGGAGTGCTCTCTAGGTGGCAAGTCCTGTTTCAGGAACTTATGCCATAAATAATGCTCTGCTTCATTGTTCTCTTCTGAAATACTTCAAAAGAACATTGTGTCTTGAAGCCATTTCAAAGAGAAGCTCTAAGAACCCAGTTTAGATCTCAGACTCAAACATGTTTTGTCCTATCATGCCTTTATTTAGCAGTATATCTAATATGACTGGGGGTAATATAAGTAACAGATTAAGATAGTAGGAGCTCATTATTCAATTTTATCACTACCCATCGACTTTTCATGCAGCCTTTTGTGTTCTTACCATAGGAATGCTGCTGGTTTGTTGGCTCTCTCAAGTGAGGGGTCAGGGAAGGGAAAGCATGGGCATATGATGTAGAGACCTCTGAGCAGCAGGTCTTTCAGCTTTCTAGTACCTATTTTGAACCCTCCTTTTAAAATAACTATCAGTATGTAGAAATGTTATTTATTACACTCAGAATACCCATAGATCACTTGTGTTACAGTTTGAGCACTGTTTTTCTGGAAATTATTGCTATGCATTTGAATATAATATTTTATTTCACAAACTTTTTTGTAAAATAAAACTTTCTGATTATTTTATATGTGCTGCCTTGTAACTTTTACTTAAAGCAGTGAGATAATGGCGTAAGTTTCTCAAACAGTACTTGACACCCAGAGAGCACTCCAGGATGTCTTTGCCTGCCAGGGCACCCTGCTCTACCTGATGACTTTGAATAACTGCTTAGTGTACTACGGACTGGTTAAAGCACTATTTATTTACCTACCCCTTGCGATTGGCCGTCTTTTTTCGTAAAGTCAGAAACAGTCCTGTCATGTTTGATTCAGAACACACATAAAGCACATTTTGATGACAGGTGTGATATCTCGTTATAAAATTCAGATAATATATTTTTTCTAGTGACATAATTAAACTGATGAAATGAGTCGTATTTAAGGTATTTTAGTGTTAAATATACTTGTGTCAAATTGCAGTTACCATTGACTTTTAGACATTAACATTCTTCATTTATATTTTTGTGGATCTTGATAGCTTGTGTCTTTAATGCTAAATAGCTACCAGTTTTAAAAATCCGATGCTGTCTTAGATGATAAAACAAAAGAAAACTTTAGCAGATCTGGGAGAATTGGGAGAAACTTAACTAGTTTGGGGTAAAATGAAATATATGTATCGAGCAGTTTCAAATGGCCTGGCAGTGTTGCAGATGCAGGGCCAACAGTGGAACACAACAGAGAGCCCCATTCTAAGTCTGACCCTTACATTCGATAGGGAAGTAAGGGCAGCCAGCACATGAATAGTCAAGAATGGCAGGTGGTGACGTGCTGGGAAGAAAGTAAAGCAGGGTGATGGATTAAAGAGGAGGGCAGTTTGATGGAGGGTTGGCGCTAAGAGCCAAATGTTTTCTTTAAGTGACATGTGAACAGTCTAAAGTGAAATGAGCTGGGTATAGTGGCTCCCACCTTTAATCCCAGTACTTTGGAAAGCCAGGATGAGGGGATTCCTTGAGGCTGGAAGTTTAAGACCAGCCTGGCCAACACAGAGACACCCCATCTTATTTAGTTTTAAAAATAAAAAAGTGAGGGGAACCCTGTGAGGATGGTGGGAGAGGGCTTCCAGAGAGGGATATCCGCTTTGGAATTCCTGAAATTGAAACAAAGTTTTGATTTGAAACTTTGAAACAAAGTTTTAGGCAAAGGAGGGAAAGCCACAAGGGCAGCTGCAGCAGAGTAAAAGGATGCTGGGATGAATAAGGTGGGTGAAGACCTTGTACATGTAGTGAACACTCACAGAAAAGATGGACTTCAGTTGAGATGGAAAACCACTGGAGGATTATAGCCCAGGATTACTGTTAATTCTCTAAGAAAGACTGAGCAGCAGCTCTGTGAATATGCTGTAATACAGGCAAGGGCTAGGAGACTGGTGGAGTAGTTCAGGTGAGAACCGACAGTGAAGAGAAAAACAATGACCTGAAAGAGGCGGACTTGAGAAAAATCAAGTGAAACTAAAAGTGGATAATAAAGTGGTAAATAGACAAGTCACAGAAAAAGAAATACAGGTGATTTTTAAACACATCTTCACTCATAAAAGAAAGGCAAATGACAGCTCTACTGCAGGGTCTCTCCTATTGAGGGAAATCCCAAAACCATGGCAGAACGTTCCTTGGTGTGGCTGTGAGGAAAGTTGCATTCATGTATTGCTGGTAGAAATGCAAAAAGACTCAACTCCATGAAGGGGAATTTGGCACAATCTCACAACCGTGAAAATGCATTTGAACCAGACATCCTACTTTGAGGAATTTTATCCTGAAGTTATGCTCCGTAAATATAAAACAAACTATTTGCAGAGTTCTTGTTGCATTATTTTCAATAGTTAAATATTGGAAATAACTGGCATGCCTAGTAAGGGACTAGTAAGTAAAATAAGCTGGTACTTGTACATAAAGGAGAAGTATGGAGCTGTGAAAAAGAGTAAGATGTCTTTTTATTGCTGTGGAGTGATTCCCAAGAATAGGGTACTCAGAAAAGCCAAAAGGAGAATGTGCAGTAATATACATGAAAGATAGCAGGAGAAATAATGGTATTTCATTATTTAAAAATAAAAGATAACGTTGGGGAAGTCTTGATGACCTGTGACAGTTTTCTCCTAATTTCACTGGGTAGCCAAAGTGCATAGTTTCTCAAAATATTATTTTGCTATGGGTTCTGCAAAGGATGTTAAGTGTGCACTTTTCGCCTTTGAGTTAGAGAAAGCTTTGGTTTGTAATCTATTGTGCCTTGTGTAGTATACAGACTGCTCTTTGATTTTATTCTATCCTCTCAATGTTTTGAGTTAGGTGTAATATGGGAATTATACTTGTGTTACATATGAGGAGGCTGGTTCTAAGAAGAAGACGGAGTAGATCAGGATAGATATATGGCATATAAAACTAGAATCTATAAAAAGGCATGCATATGGCCTGCTATAAATACTACCTTGTCTAAAAAACTTTCTAAAGCTTACTAAAGCAATCAAGCCTCAGGATGAAAACAGCAATATTAGATAATGAGAAACAAAATGGGGATACGTGTAACACAGTAATGCTTTTTATTTTGAAGAGACAGGGTCTTGCTTTGTTACCCCGGCTGGAGTACAGTGGCGTGATCATAGCTCACTGCAGCCTCAATCTTCTAGGCTCAAATGATCTTCCCACAACAGGCTTCCATGTAGCTAGGGATACAAGGGCTCACCACCACATCCTATGACATTTAGAAGCTTTTTGTAGAATTGACGTCTTACTGTGTTGCCCAGGTTGGTCTTAAACTTCTAACCTTAAGCTAATTCTCCTGCCTCAGCCTCTAAAAATGTCAGGATTATAGCCATGGGCCAGCACACCATAAGTTAAATTTTATTAAGAAATATATAAAAAGATAAACATATAGTATGGTATATGAAATGTCACAGTTCAGTCATGGTCACTACAACAGTGATTAAAATATCCAACAGTTGAGGCAAGTCTGAGACTGAGAGGGACATACAGGATTGGTTTGGAAGCCAGAATTAGGATTGTCAGAGCTGGGAAAGCAGAAGCAAGGCAAGAATGTGCCCAGGATTGGGGTATGGAGCAGCCCTGTGGTATGCCACGTGCACAGGAGCGTGGCACGCAGCAGCTCCATAGTATGCCATGTTCACAGGAGCGTGGCACGCAGCAGCTCCATAGTATGCCATGTTCACCGGAGTGGGGCACGCAGCAGCTCCATGGTATGCCGTGTGTTATTTTTTACATCAGGCCAGCTCTAGCCCAGCAGATGAGAATCACCTGATGGGTAGAAAGAGTGGGCTTAGGTAAAATCTCTGATCATGCATAACTGAGAGACTTAAAGGTCATCAAACTAATAAAAGTGACAACATGGGGATAATACAGTAGGTCAGTAAATGCGTTAAGCCACCTGCCACCTCTCCAGAGCTTCAACCATCCCACAGAAATGTTGGGGTAGCAGGATTTGACAAAGCTTGTGAGAAGAGCTCTCAGTCCAGGGTTCAGGGCATGATCTAGAGGACTCAGGTGTTCCAGGATCTCTATCCCTGGGGAACCAACTACATTATTACCTCAGATCTATCACTCCTCACTGCGGTGACACTGGGCAAGTCACTCAAAATGTCTGAGTCTTATTTCACTGAATTGGAAAATATGGGTTGTAGCCCCTTCCCTGCCTGTCCCTTGGGGCTGATGTGGGGATCAGGGAAATCACAGATCTCTGTCATGAGCTGGAAATCATGTGGCCATGGAAACTGTGACATCACTTTCCATCCTACTTTGCACAGGAGACATGCAGGCTTCCTCTCTGTATTCAACCACTACCATGTATCTGGATTATCCTTCTCGACATTGAATGATTGAACATTTTAGGGCATTTACAAAAAGAAAAGAGTCTTTTTAAGTCTTCATCTGCATTTCATTCTTTTAGGTGCTATAGACCTTAGTAGGTCTATAGCATAGATCTACTAACGTTTTTACATCTCAGAATAGGGAAGAGAGGCACAGATGGGTTCATATCCCTCTCCCAGGTATGTGCAGATTCTAAGTAGGATTTGAACCCAGCCTATTCTTGGTAACTTGGATCTTCTGCTTTTCTATATTGTCTCATCTGAATAAATGTATCTGCCTGGACAAACAAATCTTCCTAGATCCCAGATCTAATTCAGGTAGCATTGAAAAGTAGTCGGTGAAAACTAGGATCAAAAGTTTAAACTGAATAAGTTTTTACTAATTTCAGCAAGATGTCAAGAGTTGTCTTTATTATAATACATTTCTACCTTGCAGGTTTGGCTGGCCGCGTGAGGAGCTGGGTACAAAAACGGAGGCGTAAAAAAATTCACTGCAAATGAAGGTAGGGTGGAAATTGTATCATTAAGTTGATTGAAGCAAACAATTCCAGTTTACTCATCCAGTGTCCCAGAGAAACTCAGTAAATGCTATGTGATGTTCTTCATTTATTTCATTTGTGCCCATTTAAATGCATTAAATAATGGGTGATGCAACTACACAAGTAAAGTTACATTGGCAACTTAGAGTTTGGTTCTTTTTGTTTCTTTGTTTTTGTGAAAAGGTCTCATTTTCTCACCCAGGAGTGCACTGGTGCAATCACAGCTCATTGCAATCTTGACCTCCCCGTGTTCAGATGATCCTTCTACCTCAGCCTCCCAAGCAGATGGCTATAATGCACATGCTTTATACCAAGCTTTTTTTTAAATTTTATTTTTTTTTTTGTAGAGACGGGGTTTCACAGTGTTGCTCAGGCTTGGTTCGCTTTTGATAGTAAAGGACATCTCAAATGTTTAGACATTTGCTTTCAGTTTGGGCAATTATTACAAACCTTCTTGTGTCTTGTTTGGAAACACAATTTTAAAATGTAAGGAAATACTAAAATTATGGTTACTTGCTCGTACGGTAAGACCACGTTTCTTTGTAAAAATTTTGGTAGAATTTACCGGTGAAATCATCTGAAGGTAGTGTTTTTGTTCTTTTGAGAAGATACTAATTATTGATTCAATTTCTAATATAAATATAGGCCTATTCAGATGATTCATTTATCATGAGAAGACGTTTAACCTTCTGAAACAGATCCAAAAGTTAGCTCATTTCATATAATGTTTCCAAGTGTGAGCACAGATGTGTTCACAACATTCCTTTATTATTATTTTTTGATTCAACTCGTCTTGAACTGATATTATTAGTACATCGTGACTTCCTTCTTTTCCTTTGAGGTTAGAAAAGGTAGAGGTTTATCAGCGTTATTGATCTTTTCAAAGAACTGGTTTTGTTGTTGTTGAATTTCTGCAGTCGTTATTATTTTCCTCAATTCGAGATTATACTGCTGTTTTTCTTTCAATGCCCAAGGCGGAAGCTAGATTATGAATTTAGATTTGATTTTTCTCATTTTTGACACAGCATCATGAATGTTACTCACTAAATATATCATTGGAATGCACACTTAATAATTAAAATAAATATGTAAGCTTTTAAAATTTAAAAAATACAACAGGACAGATGATAAATGTAGCAGCAGGATATGTAGATCCACAGAAGTTAAATAATCCTGTAACGTTTCATAAAATGTTGGGATTTGCCTAGACCTTCACGTGGGCAGCAGGTGTGATGAGATGCTCTCACTGAGCCATACAGTGCCGTTCTGTATTAACCGGTTGCAGACTATTTCACACTGATGAGGTTTCCCGAGCTAGAAAGCCAAGGCTCTTTCATTTCTTTCTTCCCCTCTCCTTTGCCTTCCTTCAGCACCAAGGAGAGTGGCCTGAGCGGCAGCATGCTTGTCAACAGCCCCCATCCATACACTGCAGCTTCCGTCCACATCCCCCAAACTTCTTGTGGGATTCCTCAGCATCACCAGTGTACTTACTGTCTCTCTGTGTTCTCCTAGCTCCTCTTCAAGACCAGAAGAAAACCTTAAAGAGACGTGAAACCTTAAAGAGACATCACCTGACATAGTAAGATGCATTTCTTTGTCTTGAAGACAAATGTCTTTTTTGGGGGCTTCTAGAATATCAAGTGAGTATCATTTCTGACTGCCATTGTGAATCAGGCCTCAGCTGTCATGGACTCTAGCTACCAGTCACTGGAATGTATGACCAACTGAAGCCTGATTGATGATGTCAGTCAGAAGATGACATCACTGAAATACTAGTAGTGAGCGTATTTCTCAGTAGCAACATATTCTTCCTGAAAAATAATTTTGTATTTTTCAGCCAGCATAGATACTTGCTAAGTATTCCAAACCCAGTGCATTTTCTGCAAGTTCTCCATTTGGGGCCTGTGACTTCATCACTTGACATCTGGTTTTTGGTTTAGTTTAGTTTTGTTTTTGAGACACAGTCTCTCTGCCACCAGGCTACAGTGCAGTGGTGTGATCTCAGATCACTGCAGCGTCCTCCTACTGCATTCAAGCAATTCTCCTGCCTCAGCCTCCCGAGTAGCTGGGACTGAAGGTTCTCACCACCACCATGCCGGGTTTCTTGTTTTTAGTAGAGACGGGGTTTCACCATGTTGGCCAGGATGGTCTCAATCTCTTGCCCTCATGATCTGCCCGCCTCAGCCTCCCAACGTGCTGGGATTACATGTGTGAGCCACCGTGCCCAGTCTGCCATCTGGTTTCCTAATGTCACAAGTGAATACAAGACCTGTGCCAATGGGACCCAGCATGATGTAATCCTCATGATGTTTCTTTTTCTCTTATTGCAGGAGAAACATGTCAGCCCAGTATTGCCACCGTACGTATTCTTTTCCTTTCGAGACGTAGTTGACATGCAAACTAACTCACCCATTTAAATTAGGTGATTCAGTGTTTTCACTCTATTTACGGGGTTGTGCAACCATTGTTAGAGTCTAATTTTAGAAGCTTTTTTCCCCCCTCAGAAAACCCCCTTAGTAGTGACTCCTCTGCTTTCTCCCAACCCCCCACACCGCTGGTTCTAGGCAGCCCTAATCTTCTTCCTGTTTCTGTAGTACACTGCCTTTCTGTATTAATCGGTTCTTCAAATGACGATTTCACGTTGATGAGGCTGCCCCAGCTAGGAAGCCAAGGCTCTTTCATTTCTTTCTGCCCCTTTCCTTTTCCTTCCTTCAGCACCAAGGAAAATGGTCCAGCAGCAGCTGGGTCCATGCTTGTCAAACGACCAGCTCCATGCACTCCACCCTGGTCCACATTTCCCAAAGCTCCTTGTGAGATTCCTCAGCAGCACCAATGCACTGACTGTCACTTCATGTTCTACAAGACCTCAGCCTGGAACACATCAAGGATGATGAGCTACCCCGTGATGTGGTGAGATGCATTTCTTTGTCTCAAAGAGAAATTTTTATTTCTGGGGCCTCTGGAATATCAAGTGAAGATTATTTTCGACTGCCATTGTGAATCAGACCTCAGTCGTCATGAACTCTAGCGACCAGTCAGTGGAGATTCTGACCACACTGAGGCCTGATTGACGATGTCAGTCAAAAGATGGCATAACTCAGAATCTGGTCTTGTGCATGTTTCTCAGTAGCCACATTTTCTCCTTGAAAGATAATTTTGTACTTTTCAGCCAGCATAGATACCTGCTAAGTATTCCAAACCCACTGCATTTTCTGCAAGCATCCCGTGCTCTATTTGGGGCCTGTGACTTCATCACTGTTTGACATTTGGTTTTTTGCTTAGTTTAGTTTTGTTTTAGAGACAGAGTCTCTCTGTCACCAGGCTACAGTGCAGTGGTGTGATCTCAGAGCACTGGTCCTCCTACTGCTTTCAAGCAATTCTCCTGCCTCAGCCTCCCGAGTAGCTGGGACTGAAGGTTCTCCACAACCACCATGCCGGGTTTCTTGTAGTTTGTAGTAGAGATGGCGTTTCACCATGCCGGGTTTTTTGAAGTTTTCAGTACAGACAGGGTTTCAGCATGTTGGCCAGGATGGCCTCAACCTCTTGCCCTCATGATCTGCCCCCTCAGCCTCGCCACATGCTGGATTACATGAGTGAACCACCGCGCCCAGCCTGCCATCTGGTTATCTAACGTCACCAAGTGAATATTAGACCTGTGCCAGCGGGACCCAGCATGATGTCATCCTCATGGTGTTTCTTTTTCTCTTATTGCAGGAGAAGCCCACCGTTGGTGTTACCGCCGTACGTATTCTTTTTCTTTTAAACAGTTACCGAGACGTAGTGCGTATGCAAACAAATTCACTTATTTAAAGTAGGTGATTCCGTGTTTTTACTCTATTTATAGGGCCATTGTTAGAGTCTAATTTTAGAAGCTGTCTTTCCCCCTCAGAAAACCTGCTTAGTAGTGACTCCTCTGTTCTCCCCAAGCCCCCCACGCCACTGGTCCTAGGCAGCCCTAATCTACTTCCTCTTTCTGTACTACACTGCCTTTCTTTATTAACCGGTTCTTCAAATGACGATTTCACGTTGATGAGGTTGCCCTGTCTAGGAAGCCAGGCTCTTTCATTTCTTTCTGCCCCTCTCCTTTTCCTTCCTTCAGCACCAAGGAGAATGGTCCAGCAGCAGCTGGGTCCGTGCTTGTCAAACGCCCAGCTCCATACCCTCCAGCCCGGTCCACATTTCCCAAAGCCCCTGGTGAGATTCCTGAGCAGCACCAATGCACTGACCGTCACTCTGTGTTCTCTTAGGTCCCGTTGAGGTCCCGCAGGACCTCATATTAGAAGACATCGAGGATGAGGAGCTACCCCGTGACGAGGTAAGATGCATTTCTTTTCTTTCTGGGGCCTCTGGAATATCAAGTGAATATCCGTTTTGACTGCCATTGTGAATCGGACCTCAGGTGTCGTGGAGTCCGGCGACCAGTCAGTGGAGTTTCTCACCAACTGAGGCCTGATTGACGATGTCAATCAAAAGATGGCATAGCTAACAATTTGGTTTGGGGCATATTTCTCAGTTGCAACGTTTTCTCCTTGAAATACAATTTCGTATTTTTCAGCCAGCATAGATACCTGCTAAGTATTCCAAAGCCACTGCATTTTCTGCAAGCGCCCCCTGTGCTCCATTTGGGGCCTGTGACTTCAACACTCTTTGACATCTGGTTTTTTGTTTAGTTTAGTTTAGTTTTTGAGACAGAGTCTTTCTGTCTCCAGGCTACAGTGCAGTGGTGTGATCTCAGAGCACTGCAGCGTCCTCCTACTGCATTCAAGCAATTCTCCTGCTTCAGCCTCCCGAGTAGCTGGGACTGATTTGTAGTTTTTAGTACAGACGGCGTTTCACCATGTTGGCCAGGATGGCCTCAACCTCTTGCCCTCATGATCTGCCCGCCTCAGCCTCCCCACATGCTGGATTACATGCGTGAACCACCGCGCCCAGCCTGCCATCTGGTTATCTAACGTCACCAAGTGAACATTAGACCTGTGCCAGCGGGACCCAGCATGATGTCATCCTCATGGTGTTTCTTTTTCTCTTATTGCAGGAGAAGCCCGCCGTTTCGTGTCACCGCCGTACGTATTCTTTTTCTTTTAAACAGTTACCGAGACGTAGTGCGTATGCAAACAAATTCACTTATTTAAAGTAGGTGATTCCGTGTTTTTACTCTATTTATAGGGTTGTGCGACCATTGTTAGAGTCTAATTTTAGAAGCTGTTTTTCCCCCTCAGAAAACCCGCTTAGTAGTGACTCCTCTGTTCTCCCCAACCCCCACGCCCCTGGATTTAGGCAGCCCTAATCTACTTCCTCTTTCAGTACACTGCCTTTCTGTATTAACCGGTTCTTCAAATGATGATTTCAGGTTGATGAGGTTGCCCTGTCTAGGAAGCCAGGCTCTTTCATTTCTTTCTGCCCCTCTCCTTTTCCTTCCTTCAGCACCAAGGAGAATGGTCCAGCAGCAGCTGGGTCCGTGCTTGTCAAACGCCCAGCTCCATACCCTCCAGCCCGGTCCACATTCCCAAAGCCCCTGGTGAGATTCCTGAGCAGCACCATGCACTGACCGTCACTCTGTGTTCTCTTAGGTCCCGTTGAGGTCCTGCAGGACCTCATATTAGAAGACATCGAGGATGAGGAGCTACCCCGTGACGAGGTAAGATGCATTTCTTTGTCTCAAAGAGAAATTTTTCTTTCTGGGGCCTCTGGAATATCAAGTGAATATCCTTTTTGACTGCCATTGTGAATCGGACCTCAGGTGTCGTGGAGTCCGGCGACCAGTCAGTGGAGTTTCTCACCAACTGAGGCCTGATTGACGATGATGGCATATTTGACTGCCATTGTGAATCGGACCTCAGGTGTCGTGGAGTCCGGCGACCAGTCAGTGGAGTTTCTCACCAACTGAGGCCTGATTGACGATGTCAATCAAAAGATGGCATAGCTAACAATTTGGTTTGGGGCATATTTCTCAGTTGCAACGTTTTCTCCTTGAAATACAATTTCGTATTTTTCAGCCAGCATAGATACCTGCTAAGTATTCCAAAGCCACTGCATTTTCTGCAAGCGCCCCCTGTGCTCCATTTGGGGCCTGTGACTTCACACTCTTTGACATCTGGTTTTTTGTTTAGTTTAGTTTAGTTTTTGAGACAGAGTCTTTCTGTCTCCAGGCTACAGTGCAGTGGTGTGATCTCAGAGCACTGCAGCGTCCTCCTACTGCATTCAAGCAATTCTCCTGCTTCAGCCTCCCGAGTAGCTGGGACTGAAGGTTCTCGCCACCACCACGCCGGGTTTTTTTGTAGTTTTTAGTACAGACGGCGTTTCACCATGTTGGCCAGGATGGCCTCAACCTCTTGCCCTCATGATCTGCCCGCCTCAGCCTCCCCACATGCTGGATTACATGCGTGAACCACCGCGCCCAGCCTGCCATCTGGTTATCTAACGTCACCAAGTGAATATTAGACCTGTGCCAGCGGGACCCAGCATGATGTCATCCTCATGGTGTTTTCTTTTCTCTTATTGCAGGAGAAGCCCGCCGTTTCGTGTCACCGCCGTACGTATTCTTTTACTTTTAAACAGTTACCGAGACGTAGTGCGTATGCAAACAAATTCACTTATTTAAAGTAGGTGATTCCGTGTTTTTACTCTATTTATAGGGTTGTGCGACCATTGTTAGAGTCTAATTTTAGAAGCTTTTTTCCCCCTCAGAAAACCCGCTTAGTAGTGACTCCTCTGTTCTCCCCAACCCCCCACGCCCCTGGATTTAGGCAGCCCTAATCTACTTCCTCTTTCTGTACTACACTGCCTTTCTTTATTAACCGGTTCTTCAAATGACGATTTCACGTTGATGAGGTTGCCCTGTCTAGGAAGCCAGGCTCTTTCATTTCTTTCTGCCCCTCTCTTTTCCTTCCTTCAGCACCAAGGAGAATGGTCCAGCAGCAGCTGGGTCCGTGTTTGGTCAAACGCCCAGCTCCATACCCTCCAGCCCGGTCCACATTTCCCAAAGCCCCTGGTGAGATTCCTGAGCAGCACCAATGCACTGACCGTCACTCTGTGTTCTCTTAGGTCCCGTTGAGGTCCGCAGGACCTCATACTAGAAGACATCGAGGATGAGGAGCTACCCCGTGACGAGGTAAGATGCATTTCTTTGTCTCAAAGAGAAATTTTTCTTTCTGGGGCCTCTGGAATATCAAGTGAATATCCTTTTTGACTGCCATTGTGAATCGGACCTCAGGTGATGTCGTGGAGTCCGGCGACCAGTCAGTGGAGTTTCTCACCAACTGAGGCCTGATTGACGATGTCAATCAAAAGATGGCATAGCTAACAATTTGGTTTTGGGGCATATTTTCTCAGTTGCAACGTTTTCTCTTGAAATACAATTTCGTATTTTTCAGCCAGCATAGATACCTGCTAAGTATTCCAAAGCCACTGCATTTTCTGCAAGCACCCCCTGTGCTCCATTTGGGGCCTGTGACTTCAACACTGTTTGACATCTGGGTTTTTTGTTTAGTTTAGTTTTGTTTTTGAGACAAGTCTCTCTGTCTCCAGGCTACAGTGCAGTGGTGTGATCTCAGATCACTGCAGCATCCTCCTACTGCATTCAAGCATTCTCCTGCTTCAGCCTCCCGAGTAGCTGGGACTGAAGGTTCTCACCACACCACCACGCCGGGTTTTTGTAGTTTTTAGTACAGTCGGCGTTTCACCATGTTGGCCAGGATGGCCTCAACCTCTTGCCCTCATGATCTGCCCGCCTCAGCCTCCCCACATGCTGGATTACATGCGTGAACCACCGTGCCCAGCCTGTCATCTGGTTATCTAACGTCACCAAGTGAATATTAGACCTGTGCCAGCGGGACCCAGCATGATGTCATCCTCATGGTGTTTCTTTTTCTCTTATTGCAGGAGAAGCGTGCCATTTGGTGTCACCGCCGTACGTATTCTTTTTTTTTTAAACAGTTACCGAGACGTAGTGCATATGCAAACAAATTCACTTATTTAAAGTAGGTGATTCCGTGTTTTTACTCTATTTATAGGGTTGTGCGACCATTGTTAGAGTCTAATATTAGAAGCTTCTTTCCCCTCTCAGAAAGCCCCGTTGGTAGTGACTCCTCTGTTCTCCCCAACCCCCCACGCCCCTGGTCCTAGGCAGCCCCTAAATCTACTTCCTCTTTCTGTAGTACACTGCCTTTCTGTATTATTAGGTTCTTCAAATGACGATTTCACATTGATGAGGCTGCCCCAGCTAGGAAGCCAAGGCTCTTTCGTTTCTCTCTGCCCTTTCCTTTTCCTTCCTTCAGCACCAAGGAAAATGGTCCAGCAGCAGCTGGGTCCATGCTTGTCAAACGACCAGCTGCATGCACTCCAGCCGGTCCACATTTCTCAAAGCTCCTTGTGAGATTCCTGAGCATCACCAATGCCTGACTGTCACTCTGTGTTGTCTTAGGTCCTCTTGAAATCATCTTAGAGGATGACGAGGATGAGGACCCTACCCCGTGATGTGGTGAGATGCATTTCTTTGTCTCGAAGAGAAATTTTTATTCTGGGGCCTCTGGAATATCAAGCGAAGATCATTTTCGACTGCCATGGTGAATCACACCTCAGTTGTCGTGGACTCTAGCGACCAGTCAGTGGAGTTTCTCACCAACTGAGGCCTGATTGATGATGTCAGTCAAAAGATGGCATAACTTACAGTCTGGTCATGGGCCTATTTCTCAGTGGCAACATATTCTTTTTGAAAAATTATTTGGTATCTTTTCAGCTGACATGGCCACTTGCTACATTTCCAAAACACCCCACTGTTTATTTCAGAGGCATCTTACATGCTTCATTTGGGCACCAGTGACATGTGGTTTTCTAATGTCACCATGATAAATATCTGCACCAACCGCACCCCGCATGTTAAGATGCTTTGTTTTTCTCTTGTTGCAGGACACCGTGACAGCCCAAATGACCTCCGTATGTATTCTTTTTCTCATAAAGTGCTTTATTGGCACAGAGTTGACATGCAAAACTATTCACTTGTTTAAAGTGGGTGATGTAGTGTTTTTACTATATTTACAGGGTTGTGCAGCCATTGTCACAATCTAAGTTTAGAATTTTTAATTTCTCCTCAGAGAAATTCTAAAGCCATTAGTAGTCACTTCTCTTTTTCCCCAAGGCCCACACTTCTGGCCCTAGGTAGCCACTAAGGTACTTTCTAGATTTGCCTTCTCTGGCAATTTCTATTTTAAATCAAATTTGATTTTAAGTTATGGGATACATGTGCAGGATGTGCAGCTTTGTTATACAGCTAAAAGTGTGCATGGTTTGCTGCACCTGTCAACCCATCACCTAGGTATTAAGCCCCGCATACATAGTCTTTATTCTGATGCTCTCCCGTCCACTTCCCCCACTGTGTGTGTTGTTCCCCTCTCTAACATTGTACATATTCTAATACCACTTTCTTCTAATGACACATCTTGGTGATAAGTCAGGGGTGATTGATTTTCTTGCTTGCTTTTGTCTGGAGAACCTTTCTAGCTTCGGGTTCCTGATAGGTGTGAGGATCTCGGGTGTGCTGTGAGAAACAGATGTCTCCATGAAGAACTCAGCTCTAGACAGTGGAATCTCCATCATGCCCTATTGATTCTACTGTTGAAATAGGTTTTTGTTTCCTCTGAAAACCTTCACACAGAGAGCCAAGGTAGCTGCTTTAAGTCATGATCAATGTTAAGTAGACCACATGATGGTTTGAGGGTTTTTTTTTTTTTTGGAGCATTCATTCTGTGAAGATGCTTTGCTTTTCAGTAAAATTGATTGTCTTGTATGTGTCAGTATTTTCCCAATGGAACAAAAGAAATGAAACTGTTTGGTTGTGCAATGTCACTTGTTCACCCCAGAAGTGATTTTCTCATGACCAGATTGTCCTTGACACCTTTAATCTTTAGACGAAGCTTCCCATTGGTGCTTTCGGGGGCGCTGCTGTGTGTGAGTCAAGGAAAATATCAGTGTTACCAACATTGAGGTTCTCTGAATCATGGACACCTGCTTAGTGGGCTTCATGGGAGAGAGCAAGGGAGAGCCTCGTGCTAGACCTGAAGGGAAACATGATTTAGAGGATCAGAGGGGAAACAAATGAGAAATTAGGGACATTGTTAAAAGAGAATGTCAAGGTTGCAGTGTTAGGGGCATCCATTCAGCGTCATCACCGGGGCCCAGGCAGGATATGAGACCCCTTCTGGGGGAGGAGTGAGTAGGACTTGGCCTTTCTCTCTGTCGAAAGCTTGATGTGAACATCACCCTAAATACTTGAGAAAGGAGCTTTCTTCCTGACCCATGTCTTCTCCATCTCTTTGTGCGATGATGGCAATGATACCAACAGAGTGTCATTGCGGAGAGGGGCAGAACAGGAATCAGGTCCCCATTTTTTGACACGGAACAGACAGGACATGAGTCAGTAGGAATGGACCTCAGGGTCAGACCAGACACAGAGAGGTCCCAGGCCTGATCTTCCTGGGGCTGAGACAGACAGTTTTTATTTTTCACCTCTTCTGGAAATCTCCTGAGGAATGATTCTTCAGTAGACCCTGTTTGGCCAAGGGTCTTCTGGCCCAGAAATGCTTTTCAACTGGACAGAGTCTTCCAGCTTTTGGCCTGGGCAGCTGCAGCACTCCAAAGTAGTAGGGCAGGTAGGGAGGGACATGAGTTTCAGTGCAGGGTGATCTCAGCAAAGGGGCTGGGGACTGATCCCAGACTCCAGGTCATCCTTGCAACTCTTCTGTGCAATCCATAACATCTCAGTTTCCACTTATTTTGGAGATGGTTAAAAAATCTTCCACCTCAAAGTCTGAGTCTTCCACAGGTGAATAGAGGAGCCCTGGCTATGGGTATTTACTCGCAGGGCAGTGACTGTGTCTTCCTCATTTGTTTTTACCCCAGAGCTCAGTCCCTGGACAGACACTTTTTAGGCTCCATGGATGTTTTAATGAACACACCCCTGGGATGAGCTCTAGGTCACCCCTGGGCTGGGTTCTAGTGCAGGTGTGTGGAAAGGTTTCCTTCTCAGCCTGTTTAGCCACACACTCAACCTGGAGCCTGCCCCAGCTTCTGAGTCAGGGTCTCTGGAGGATAAGGGTGAGCTCCTGAAGACAGTGAGATGCCCCCACCCCTCTGATCCTGCTGCTCTGATCTAGTCTGGACGGGGTGTGCAGGGCCATGGCTCTTCCACTGGGTGCAAGCGCATCCCTGCTGGAATCCCTCTGGACCTGGATGTTGTCCTCACTGTCATATCCTCAGCCCCACACAGTGACAGGCCCTTGTGCATATGTTCAGGAAGTAACCCTAAATGTGTGGTAAGATCAGAGCAGCACAAGGATTCTGCAAAAAACACCAGGAGAGGGGAGTCAGGTCTTCCTCATGTCTGGATATCTGGAGCTGTCCCATCTAGTGTGCTTTCAGTCATATATATACCTCTTTATACTTAAATAAATATATACAATGAAATATTCAAAACCTCATCACAACAGCCACCATGCGATTTGTACATGGCCCAGAAGCTGTACATCAGAGAGCATTTCCATCCCCACAGAATGCTGTCTTGCATGTCTGCTGTGAGCCTGGCCCAGGATCTGACTGTTGGACTCACGTCACTCAAAGCGTGCACATCAAAGTTGGGATCCTAGGGTTGTGTCGATTGGAGGTGAGACCTGATAATGGGCCAGTAGAAGGAAAAATGGAAAGGTGATTCCTTCAGCTTCTCTTTCTTACTTGAAGGCTGGAAAGTGTAAGCAATGCCTTGTTGAAAACCTCTGGCTCCACAGAGTCTGGAGAGAATCTGAGAACATGGAGAGGAAAGCTCAGGGTGATCTCATGTAATCTAGTGTGGCCTCACCTGGAATAGGAGGGTGGGTGAGTCACTCTCCGAAATAACTTCTTGCTGAGATTTGTGTCTCTAAAGATGGCCAGTTGACACCATCCATGAGGGAAGCTGCAATAGGACAATTTAATGCAGGTAGAAAATGATACCCTAGGCCGGGTGCAGTGGCTCAGGTTATTAATCCCAGCACTTTGGGAGGCTGAGGTGGGCGGATCACGAGGTCAAGAGATCAAGACCATCCTGGGCAACATGGTGAAACTCCGTCTCTACTAAAACTACAAAAATTAGCTGGGCATGGTGGTGTGTGCCTGTAGTCCCAGCTACTTAGGAGGCTGAGGCAGGAGAATTGCTTGAAACCCAGGAGGCAGATATTGCAGTCAGTTAAGATCCCACCACTGCACTCCAGCCCAGTGCCTGGTGAGCAAGACTGTCTCAAACAAAACAAAAACAAAAGTACTACCCTAGGAGTATTTCTGGGAGCAGTTTGGGTTACACCCATTGCTTTGGAACCTAGGAAAGGGGCTATGAAGCCAGAACCAAAAAAAAAAAAAAAAAAAAAAAAAGAGCTGTAGAGGTCTGAATTATTTCTGTTGGATTTTAATAAGATAGAGATGAGAGGATGTGGTGTCCATGGGCTTTGTGGGCTGCTTTTGTACATCGTTTCTTACTCTGGTATTTAATGATGACTTTTCCCAGGAGACCAGTTTTTCCTGCCTATGTCACAGCAAACATCTAAGCCTTGCTTTTTGATTGGTTAATATCTTTTGGGAATTGGGAATGCGAGAATATTATTAGGTCTTGGCATTGTCTAAGATGAAAGATATCTGGTGAGACTCCCTCACGGTACTATCTGAACATAGTTGTTTCTCTGAGATGGTCTCAGAATCTTCAGTCCCACACTCCATATGCCACAACCCAGCAAAGCTCCTTGAGTTACTCACAGTCTACAGCGCCACCAGGGTACTGACTTTACTCTGTCTCCCTCCAGCTCCTCCTGAGGATTGCAGGAGCATCCCAAGTGTGAGGAAGATGGTGAGGTAAGAACCCCTTTTTCTGTCCTCTAAAGAATGCCCTGTCAGGTGGGGATTGGGGAGGGAGAGCATTAGGATAAATAGCTAATGGATGCGGGGCTTAAACCTAGGTGATGGGTTGATAGATGCAGCAAAGCACCATAGCACATGTTTACCTGTGTAATAAACCTGCACATCCTGCACATGCATCCTGGAACCTAAACTTCAGAAGAAAACGAAATAAAAAAAGAATTGTTTGTTTTCTGATTTCCTTCCTTCTGTTAATTGTGATAATGTGAGAAGGCACATTATGTCTGACATGTCCCATTCTCTTTTTGGGGTTGGAATTCAATGGGAGTGTCTTCCCATCAGATATGTAATATCTTAGAATGTTTTTAGATGACAGCATTCATTATCAACTGTAACGCAGAGGAATTTTCCTCA